CGGCTGAGCGGATAACCAGACGCCCGCGAAACATGGGGGGGCAAAGCGCCGCAAGTAAGCGTGTCGGCGACGGGTGCGTGGTTCCTACTGAGCAACGTGATCGCAGGGCACCGCCGCGTGTTCCTCGGCGCCAAACTCATCGAGGTCGAAACTCGTAATGCGGAGCCCGACCACATCGGAGCACCGACTTGGTTGCGCGCGCGACCTTCGCCCACGCGAGCGGGATGAAGAACCGGGGGGTCAGCGGAGTGCTCCTGTTCCTGGCCTTGAAGGGCGCCTTCTACCCCGTCGTCCTTGAGCTCCTTTGCCGACGAGCGTTGGGCGAGCACGACCTGAAAGATAGATTCGACGCCGGGGGCGTGCCAGCGGCCATGGCGCCCCAGCTAGTTGACGCCGTGCAAGGAGCGCCCCGCGGATAATCAGGAGAATGTGCTGTTCTGTCCGAGGCCGATCGTGCGCGGGCCCGCTATCCGATCCAGACTTTACGGCGAGGACGCGAGACGCCGCGCAAGTCGGATTGCGAACCGCGGTGGGGTGCCGCCCCTGCGCGCCCCCTGTCGTGTGAAGAAATGCCGCGCTGTATGTGTGCGTGCTGTACCTGTTCTGTGTTTGTGTGTGGTCCGTGTCTTGTGTCTTGAGTATGTGCGTTATGCGGGTGCGGTTGTATGCGCGCGTCTCATGCGGGTGTCGTGCCGCGTCGGACAGCGCGTTTGTTCGTGTGTGGTCGGCGCGAGAGTGAAGGCGGGAAAAGAAGGAGTGTGTGTGTTTGTGTTTGTGTTTGTGTTTGTGTTTGTGCTTGTGTGCGCGTGTGTGTGTGTGTGTGTGTGTGTGTGTGTGTGTGTGTGTGTGTGTGTGTGTGTGTGTGTGTGTGTGTGTGTGTGTGTGTGTGTTGGGGGGCAGATCCCGCGTGGGTGGGGGGGCTCGCCGAGTTGGCGGGGCGTGGCCCACGCGGGCGGGGCGCGGCTGAAAAGGGTGCCAGAGCCCTTGGCAAAACGCCGCAAGCAAGCATGTCGGCGACGGGCGCGTGGCCCTGCTGAGCAACGTGATCGCAAGGCACCGCCCGAACTCATCGATGTCGCTGCCGCGCTATCTCGAAACTCACAATGTGGAGTCCGACCACATCGGGGCGCCCGCCTTGTTGCGGGCGCCGCCCTCGTCTACGTGGGCGTGCTATTGTTCGTTGCTTTGAAGGGCGCCTTCTACCCCGTCTTCCCTGTTGTCCTCTGCCAAACGTCGTCGGGCGAGCTCGACCTGAAAGGCGTCTTCGACGCTGGGGGCATGCGCGCGACCATGCCGCCCCTGGTAGTCAACGCCATGGAAGGCGCGCCCTACATGGGCAGCGACGTCGACGACGAGCGCCTGGCATCCCTACTACGGGGCGCGCGTGCCAACCTATGGGGTGCAACGCGGGGGTCCCGAAATATTCGCGCACCCGCGAACTGTGGCAAGGCCGTGGGGCCCCGGTGTCCAGCTACCGCTTCGACGTCGCCTTCGCAAGAGTCACCCAGGCGATCGCGGAGGACGTGGTCGAGAAGGGGATGCGCGACGACATGCCCTATCACAGCGGCCAACAGCGAATCGTTGCGCGAGGGCCGAGATGCCGCCCGGGGGCAAGATGGGGGCGCGCTCGCCGGGGCCGCCGCCGCGTCCCTGGGCGACTCGATCGACGCTGCAACGGCCCTGCTGCAAATTGTTGAAACGAGCGCCCGCGCCCGCGGCGTGCGACTCAACGCCGAGAAGACGGAGATCGCGCTTCTGCTTGTCGGCTTCAAATCGAGGACAACACAGGAACGAGATGCAGGGGGAGGCGCCGCCAACATCAGGAGCGCTAGGTCGGAGCTGCCAGTGGGGTTGGTTGACGCCCAGACCGCGCTGAGCACGTTTTTCGCGCCCGCGGGAACAATTGGGGCCTGAGATCAATCAGAGAGGCAACAGCGCCGTGGTCAGCAGGGCCCCCCGCGCAAGCCGGTCGTCAAGAGGCCGAACATACCTACTTACCAGAAGGTCCTCTATAATGAGTCACTGGTGCTGCCGGCCCTGTCGCACAACGACTACGCATGGACCGACGTGACCGACGGAGACGCGGATGCCTTTGCTTTAGAGTGCGTGGAAGTATGCAGGTTGGCCGCGGGCACCACGCCAATCACGGCCAGGGCAATCGGTCGTCCAACCTCCAAGGCTTCGGCAACGCAAACCGACGACCTCCTGACATCGCGCGGAGAATCAGGAGACTGCTGTGCTTTCCGAGGCTGATCTTGCATGGGCCTACTATTTGACGCAGACTTTTCGACGAGGACGCAAGACACAGAACAGGTTGGATGATGAAGGTCGCGCAGGACATGCAGTGGCTCTACGACATCCTCAGCCAGGTGGGAAGGCCGACGACCAACATGAGCTTCAATTGACATGTTCGAGCGGCGACCCTTCCCGCTTCAGGGCAACAGTCAAGGAGGCGATTGCTAGCTAGTTCCGACGGCAGCAAGTTTGAGCACACCAGGGGCAATTGTACAACGAGTTCGAGCCGTGTCAGAGCACGGAAGAGATGCCGCCCTTACCGACAATGTCGCCACCGCCGCCCAAACCCAATCTTTGTGCTGCTACCAGTGCGGCGCCAAGTTGCCCAATCTGAGCGCGTACTACACTCATTCAGGTGCAGAACTTGCAGTCGGGAGTGCCACACATATTTCCGACTCGTCCAGCATCTGCTGGCGATGCCATGTTGTGCACCACCTTGGGCGACGGAGGCCCCGCAATTGTTTGACGAGGCCACCAGGCAGAACAGTCAGGCCATGCTGAATAATTACCCACCGGGCGAACATCAAGCAGGATGGCCACTTGATTGCGCCGACCGGTCGGGCTACACAACAGACGTCCCGCCAGCTTGCGCCAATGAGAGGGCAGAAGCAATGGAGGGGGACGGAGAGGAACAGGAACAGCAGGAGGAGGAGGAGGAGGAGGACCAAACGCCACAGCTTCACGCTTAGGTCGGTCTAGCGTAAAGAGAGGAGGAGGAGGAAGATGAGGAGGAGGAGGAGGAGGAGAAGGAGGAGGAGGAGGAGGGCGAGGACGAGGAGGACGAGGACGATGACGAGGAGGAGGATGAGGACGAGGACGAGGAGGAGGAGGAGGAGGACGCGGAGGGGGAGGAGGAGGAGGAGGAGGAGGAGGAGGAGGAGGAGGAGGAGGAGGAGGAGGAGGAAGAGGAACGAAACGGAGGAGGAGGAGGAGGAGGAGGAGGAATAGTACATACAACAATAATAATCATCAGAACACGAAAATAATAATCAACCGATCGATTTGAAGAATCAGCAACATATAACGACTTATAGTATTAATAAGGCGCTTGCGAAGACGTATCAATAAGACAAACACGAGACATAGCAATATTACTACGAATTTCCAGAATAGAA